ATATATATATATATATATATATATATATAATGCATGTGATTTGTTGTCAAATAAATAATGTGGATATGAAGTGGTCTTGCACTTGCACAAGCTATGTTGGGAATTTGTTCGGAATTTGATATCCTACGCAGATGTTTAGTGTGCGTTCTTTTACGACAAAATAACACCATCGTAAAGACATAAATATACAATTTTACATAATATATATATATATATACACACACACACACTCACTACAGATACCATGGATCCCAAAGTGAATGTTTTCACAATTATGGAAATACATACAAACACCCATTCCCCAAAAAAAAAAAAAATTATGATAGCTAATATACGTAAGGTGACAGAGTTTTTCTAGAATTTATTATAGTAGACAACACCATTATAGAAATGCGTTTATATGCCATTACGATAATGTAATAACTGTATGGCAGGAGATAACAGATGTTAGACTAACGCGGACAAATCATAACATCCTGATTATCCGGTCGTCACTTAACTTTTGATTGTTATTTTAATTAAAATTTGTCTTTTCGGCTTGCAAGTAATATCATAAACACAAAGTTACGTTTGCAATTTTTTTAATTCTGCAATTTACAGCTTTTAGTAAAAGATATTTTTTCGTATTATTTATATTTTCGGCAGACCCATTCTACTCGTACGACCTCTCTTTCCTCAAATGCATACCATATAATATACTCACTCGCAATTTACACACACACACACACATATATATGTATATAAACACATGAGCACACGCATAATGACTTGACAGGATCCATTTGTCATTATTATTCTCGTCAAGTTCTTTGGTACCAGTCGAGGCTATAGGAGAAACAAACCTAGAGGACAAGAATCTCATTACAAAGTACAAAAAAAATATGGGAAGAGCGCCGTGTTGCGACAAAACTGCGGTTAAGAAAGGGCCATGGTCGCCGGAGGAAGACACCATCCTTAAGTCATACATCGAGAAGCATGGCACCGGCGGCAACTGGATCGCCCTTCCTCAAAAGATTGGTACTTTAATTATTGGACTTGTATATTTACGATTGATATGATGATGATCATATATATATATGAATTATAAGGATATGTGTTTGATGCGTGTTTTTTTTTTTTAAATTTTTTGGGTGAATTCGAAGGGCTTAAGAGATGTGGGAAGAGTTGTCGATTGAGATGGTTGAATTATTTGAGACCTAACTTAAAACATGGAGGTTTCACCGAAGAAGAAGATTACATAATTTGCAGCCTCTATATGAGTATTGGAAGCAGGTATATATAATATATATTATAATCACATTAAGAGTTCTAACAATTTTACTCTATTCGTTTCAAGCACTTTATTTTTTAAAAAAACTTAATTTGAAACGCTTAATTGATGTTATAAATCACTTGTTTGTGATCATGGAGGTGGTCTATCATTGCTTCACAATTACCGGGAAGAACCGACAACGATATCAAGAACTACTGGAACACGAGGCTGAAAAAGAAACTGATGGGAAAGCAAGGGAAGGCTTTTCAACAATTCAAGCCTGAAACCGAATCCAAAAGATCGGCTCAAACCCATGATCGAATCCAAACCGAAACGCGAGTTTTTCCTGATAACCTTGAAACATTAGACCAAACCCTTTTCAGTTGCCCGAATTTCCCATCCTTTGCCATGGAGGAACAAACAAATCAAAGCCAAGAACAGCCCGACAAGAACCCAATTGAGACATTTTCTTGGGATCCAAACAAGGTTTTCATTGATGATGATGCCGCCTCATATTATTACTATCATCATCATCATCATGGAAGTAGCAACTCCATGAACATTGCTGCTTCTTCATCCCCATCATTAAACTCCATGAATAGCAGCACAAATTCATCCATGCACGTGACTCATTGCAACGTCAACGGCGATCAAGAGGTTTTGACTGAGTTTGACAATTTCCCGACCGAGCTTCTTGATGAACTACTCTATAACACAGCTCAAGATGCAAGCAATATTGTTGCAGTGAAGACTTCTGATCAAAACAGCAATTGGAATAATACCAGCTTGATCGTTGATTATTTGTATGATAATGAAGTCTTTTCTTAGCGGAGATTTTATATATATATATATATATATAGGTTGATTCATGCTTTGTGTTATTGCTTTACATGTTTAGCAGAGATCTTAAAGAGCGGAACGAAAACCCTAGAAGCGTAACGCATAGTGTTTTATTTCCCTGCGTATCGAGCATGTCCTATGTATGATGTTTGTCTTGTCTTTCTTCAATGATACAATTATTATTTAATTATGAGAAAATGTGCTTTTGCCTTGCGAATAGGTGGAAGCTGAAAAGAGGGGAATCCTATGACTTTTAATTCTTCTAAAAAAAATTCAGAAAATATTCAAGAAAGCATTAAATTTTATGGTAACCATAGAAACTCCTAACAGATAACTTTGATGTGATTTATATGTCTGGTGACAAAATTTTCCGCTATCTTTTAGAAATAGTCTCATTGAATAGTTTAGGTAAATAAATTATTATTAATTAGCGAAAAACATAGGTGGATATAGAGAAATCTGCTTCGAGAATTCCATTTATATGTATCTCCAAACATTTCGAATTCTATTTTTTTTTTCTTTTTTGTTTTGTTAAACGAAAATTCTATTAATGAAACTGTGTTCTGCATCGAAGATATATTTAATTTCTAGGAATCCTAGAAAACAAAGATACAAAAGTAGGAGTGCAAATTGTGCTCATCTACGATTAGATAATCTCAAAATGGCGAAACCAAATCGAAATTCAACGAGTCAGTTTGGTGCGTGCATCCCCACGTGTTCCTGATAGAAGTTAATCGTCTCCTTGTTTGCAGTAGAATCTCCTTTGCTATAACTTGTCCAGATTTGGACCCCGATCCTGTGTAGCCATGCATTCCTTTCCCGCCAGATGTTGTAAATTGTCCCCTGGAATAGCAGTAAAATCATAAGTTTCACCGAGAGTTGGTCCAGCCAACATGTCCAGCCTACGAGTGTACTCTGCTCCGTGATGTGTAGTCCCGAATGCTCCAACAATGAGCTCCAGATGTGAATTGTGTATGTATAGTGGAAGAACAAGTGGTCCACTGATTCATGAGCCTGATCACAAAAAATAGACGATTTGGTGACACTTGCAGTCCTCATCCTTGCATTCTATCTATCGTTGGTAACCTGTTAGGAGTAACCAACCAAGAGATAAAAGAATGTTTGGGAACCGAATTCTATTTATTTTTGCATCTTCTTACATCTAATTATATAAACAGAAACATTTTCATCTATCTATATACGATAAATCATATTATTTTATAAGTAATTATATATATATTGTTATTCCCTTAATTTGGTTTGTCAGTCGTACTCTTACTACTTATATATACTTTTTATACGGGATTCTATATCTTATAATAAAGCTCAGCCCGTGCAATATGAGTGTGTGTGTGCACATATATAGAATGCTCTCAAGTCGAAGCAGGCGGTTTTATTTATGGACAATGCATTGACTTGAAGTTTTCTGAATATTTGAGTTTTTTTATGGTCATATACTTGATTCAAAATATTTCAACTCATTAATTTTAATTGGTGATATTTTTAATAATAGAGTTTTATTACTTTTATATTTTTAATAATTGGTGATAATTGACAAAAGGACAAGCATTTGCGGATATATTTGTGTGCATGCATCCACTCATCTTTATTCACAAGTTACCGTACATACATACATACATACATACGTACGTACATATATATACTATTTTCGTTATTCGGCATTAATTAAAACTGTACGAAATACCTAAGTACATAGAATTATTGCATCGGTCTTTAATGAGAACTTAGAGTAGGATACCAATACATACCTAATATATGGATAAATGAAGTAAATTCGAAGAAACTTGTAAATAATTTTATTGTTTATTATGGACTAAAATTAACGTAAATTAAGTGGCTCTATATAAACGCTGTTTATGGATGCGGTGAGATGACAAGTGAGGACAAAGGCAGATGTATCTCCTAAAGTCAAAAAGGAAGAGAAAACGATAAATTACAGTGAACATTGTAGACTTTGTGATTTTTTGTCAACAATAACTATTTCAAAAAGTCAAACTATTGTTTTCCTATTCGTTAGGGCCTTATAACAAAATAACATTTCATATATGTGCGCGTGTATATGTGGACATATAATACACACTAACTATGTGCACGCTATAATTCGGTCATCGTCTCGTAACAATGTCAAAACCTATATACCATTGTATAATTCGTAGTTTTCCTTTATGAATCTTAAATTTGAATAATGCTGAATTAGGGTCGATAGCCATTATTGAGTATATGCTAATTGATAAATTAAGATACCTAGAATAAAAACAGAATATGATAACTTGATAACAAATCATTTGACTGTAATTAATGCTACGAATTGCTTGTAGGATCTAGAACTCAATTGTCGTCGTTTTTTTATTGGTTAACGGAAATGTCAGTGTTCATGACTTGTTATGCTACATATATACTCTTTTCACGAAATATACATATACACACACACACATATATACACACAAGTGTGTACGTAGATGCATGAAGGTTGTGATGCATGTTTGAGATGGACATATACCCAACAGTGGAGGGAGAAAGGGAAAGACTTACAGAGTCAAAGATGGATGATATGATATCTCACATTTACACCTAAACATGGCAAAACATTATCACATGTTCCTCTCTTATTTACATCGTCACACTTCCCATTGTGTCTAAACCTTGACATCATTGAATCCTTCCTCCATCGTGAAGAGATTCCTCAATTTTGCAGTATATATACACGCATACATATATAACCAAAATGATTATATACACCTATATTAAAAGGGCTTCACAATCACATCGATCACGATTTTATCTTTTTTTTTTACATACAATATATGTATTCAATTATCCAATAATGTCATGAAGATTTGGTAAGTTTTTTAAATCGTATGTTATATTATATGGTTTATTGATGGAATCATCATTCTCAACGAAAAGATAAAAATATGTATTACATTTTAAAAATGATATATTTATAAAATTAAAAGCTACTTTATGAAAGGTCGCATCTGTCAATAATTTTGAAATTTAAGTGAAGCCTCGATTGAAGATGAGCCGCGACAAATCGTAATCCGACCACTTCGTCGACCCCTTTCCACTAATTTTATTTTTAAAATTTTACTTTTCTTTATCGGGTTCTTCCTTATTTTTCAAATAGAATGGACCCATATTTAATTTATACATTATATTGGTTTTCTCTTGGTAATGGTTCTTTATTTGATTTGTATCAAAATTTGAGTAGTCACAATATTACATCAAAGTTTTAAAAAAAATGAACGGATTTGTATGATTAATATGGTGTAGATATAAATAAGTTCAATTTATAAGCTTATCCAATAGAACTTTCAGTTTTTGCACAAATAATATGTAATATATTATTATTATTAGCATACCACATTCTCTTAGAAATAATGGGCTGGACCGATGGGTACGTGGCCCAAGTCTTGGAAAGTCTAATACAGGCTCTAATTTCTAGTAATCAAAGCAGATATCAAGGACCTAAATAAAATAATAAAATGGGCCGCATAGTTAAACCCTAAATCCAAGTCTTCATCTGGATGTATTTGGGCCGATTATCGGCCCATGTTTATACATTCGGCCCAACCTATCAAAGATTCAACCTCGATGACAACATTTCGGCCCGAACCGACAGATCCGCCACTTTGACATTATATGATTTCATGTGGCTGTTGTTCTTCAAATATTCAAGCCCCCGTCTCTTTACTTGCGTTTTTGTCCATTCATACACACACTCGGACACCGTGCATATATAAGCCAATTTCACGCTTTGGAGCCAAAAATCCATTTTCAGACATCACCATCACCAGCTTGAAATGATCGTCATGGAGAGACAAATACAACGATGTTACCCAAACTTGGATAGTCTGGTGCTAAGAGAATATATAAAACATGTTCTTACTCTGGATTCAAACTCAAGCGTGGAGAAGAGAATTCACCTAGGCTTTCCCGATTCTCTATGAGATATAGTTGAATCGAATGTGCGGTGAACTTCCGAATTATAAAAAAAAACGTTGTTGCTCGAGTAAATTACAAAGGGTAAGTCTAAAAAGGCAGATGGATCCGTGCTTGATTAGATAATCGATGTCTTCTGATTACATCATTGAGGAGGAGGAGGAGCTCTGTAGATGGCAGGTACAGTTTGAGGGAAGAACATTTGCCTCACCCCCTCCGCTCTGATTATAGGAAAGATTATGCCCGAAGCACTCTGTTCCAAAGTTTATAAACCATTAAGATTGAACAATGTAAGAACTCTATATATATGTGTGTGTGTACGTACCGAGATTAACCTAGCCCCCTTCCAGAAGCGTTTAACTGAAGGAAATGGTAACAGTAAACGCCCGACGCCATAGATCGCCACAGCGAAGAAGTGAAGAAATAGACTTAGAGGGCGAGGGTTTAAACCCGAAAGCAATGCCACTGGTCCAGATGAGAAAACACCTCCAAGGCTGAGATAGTCGAAGCATGCTTCACGCATCTCCTTTCTCGCCTCATCAGACGATGCCAAAAAGACCTTGTACAGTGCACCCGCCAATGTGTTTATGGTCGATGCCACCGGCTGTCAACCCCATACATAAACATCATATCAGAAATCTTAAAACCTTGAATGTGTATATATATATATACATATGCCGGCTCATATATTATTCATTGTGGTTACCTTCCTTAACGTGTAAAATGATTCAAGGTACTTTGAGAGCTGGTCTTTGTCATCAAGGTCATGAAGTGGTCTGAGAAGATCGCGGAGAATGACGATATCTGACAATGCAACAGTCATTCCACCGCCTGTTAAAGGATGACGCATGTTGAATGCATCGCCCAGAAGAAGTGCTCCAGGAGTAGGAACTGGATCGGCTGGCATGCTTCTGTTTGGCATTGTTCTAATATTACCTTTGTCAACTGCAGCAATGAAGGCCTCGTAAAGCTCGGGTGGAACCTGAAACATATATCATAACATAAAAATGCCGCAAAATATCATCTGACATGAACCCAAATTCAGTTATTAAACATATTCGGGTACCTGGGGTGCCACCCGAGTTTTTAGGTACTTGGCCATTTCACCATTGGCAATGGAAGGAAGCTTTTGGTTGGGTATATCAACGAGGCAACGAACTTCTGAACTGCTGATGGGATAAAACAAGATTGGCGACGGGTCACCAAGAATGACATGCCCATGATTCGCATATGGGAGCTGGCAGTTTTCCAGGACTAGACCCACAAAATTAGAGGGAACCTCCACCTGATAGTGACAGATATCTACCGAGTAAGAGACTTGGACAAGATGGATATTAACAAAGGGGTAATATACGTATATAGAAAACAATGTTTTAGCTCCAACTATAAACTATACTCTAAATGTAGGAGATAACATATCACCTTAGGCTTGCAGAGAGAGCGGCGTAGGTTCGAGAAACAACCATCACAAACAATTGTGAGAGGGGCATATGCTCTGAGTTCTCCACCTTCCTTTGTTTTGTATTGAACCCCTTTGATTGTCCCATTTTCCTCGATCAACGAAGTCACAGTTCCTTGCTCCAACCGGACACTGCAATGACACAGTCAAACATCATAGTCCAAAGATGGTGAAACATGGAACAATTACAGTGTCGGATTATGTAGTCTGCCTTGGATGCCAAAAGATAGATAAAAGTAAAGAATCGAAAGGTTTACGTTGGAAGAGAAGCAGCTTTTTCACGCATTCTCTGAACAAAGCGCCCGTTATGGAAGCTCCTTCCAGCCACATCAGAATCAAATTTTTCCAAGGGGTAAGAAAGTCTTGTGTTCTTCCCATCCTTGAAGAGAGCATAACCAAGAACACGCTGGGCATCGATTTCCTTCACACAATCTACAGCCAAGAAGCAAACAAAAGAATGGTTTAATACAATCGAAACAAATCCATCGATTTCCTTCAGACAATCTATAAGACAGTTACCCTCAAGACCGAGCTCAATCAACTTCAAGTAGCCGCCCGGCTGAAGCAATTCGCCCACGATTCTGTCAGGCTCAGTCAAGTCTCTTTCGATGACATGAACTCGTCTTCCCTCCTATAGCATACAAAACCAATATCACGAATGATTTTCATTGTTTCACACTTGTGCTTAGATCTTCAGCAAAAATGTGCACATAGCAATGTAATCTCTTCAATCTCAACAAAAAAAAAACGTATACAGATAATTTCTTATCCAACACGTTTCTTCTATTGAAGCAGAACACGAAAGTGAGATCAAATGTAACACCTTTTTCCGCAAAACACATCATCATAGCATGTCAGAAACGGATGATATTTCCATTTTATCCATCACGCAAATAGAAAATCTCTGTATCAAGTTAAATCATAATAAGAACCCGAAACTTCACGGATCGATTGATGGAATAATCTTGTAGCCAAACAGATATCACCAGCAAATATCTTGAAGAAAAGGAAGAATCCCCTTTGCCATTTGGCCAACATGGAAACAGCAAATGCTAAAAATTCAATCTAATTACCATTACAATTGAGAATTCCAGGAAAAAAAATGAAAAAAAAAAACGTGAAAACTCTGGAACATGAAACTGGAGAAGGTTCTGGAAAAAGGAAGAAACCAAAATTCAACCTGAACAGGAGCAATGGAACGCACTACCATGTCTTTTTCGAAATTCGAATATAATATATTACATGAAATTGGACTTGCCTTGCCGAGGGTATGAGCGAGGGCCGCTCCGGCGACACCAGCGCCGACAATGATGACATCCGTGACAGTTCCAGACCCCTCCACCCCCGAACCCTCCAGCACGGCGCCGCTCCGAGCACCGGAGGAGCCGCGGATCTTCTTGCCCCGGCGAAAGGAGAAGAGAAGAGCAAACGCGAAGAGGGAAGCGAAGAATGTCCCGAGGATGAGTTGATCCACGACAACAATCGCCATAACTGTCGACGTAGAAGACGAAGACGAAGCGGAGGTGAGGGCGCGTCTGTTGCAAGGCTCAGCCGCTGTGACGCGGCCAATGACGAAGGCTCCGGCGATGGAGGAAGGTGCGGAGAACCGGAGAGAGGTTATGGTTGTGGCTATGGAGGAAGGGACGAGAGAGAGGGAGAGAGACGATGGCTTTTTGTAGGAAAGAGAAGAAGGGAGAGATTGTGGTTCTCAATTGACACGGCCTTCATTACGCTTCCGACGAAGAACATTAAATACTCAACGACCCAACCTTCTCATGAAATATATAAAAAAAACATCTAATGTACGAAAAAAATGTTACAGATTAAATTAGTAACGAAATACATTCAATTTACGAATAATATAGATTCGATTTGTATAGATATTTGCAGTAACGTCTCTTCTACTAATGAATCACACTGCCTATATTGTGAAGAAAGAAAAAAAAAAAATCTGTTTCTATGGCTTACAAATGGCATACGTGGAATTCCAAGGGTGCAAAAAAAAAACTGAGGAACGTACATTTAATATCACAACCACTCGACAAATTGTTTGGTTATGCCATTAATATTCAGGCATGTGTTACATAATTTACAAAGGAGAATTTGGTTTCATGTGGAAAAGGATCTCTAATAACATGATTCTCTACACGCATTGGGACCATTGCTCATCTTGTGGATTTTATATTATAATCGAAACGTATGTTTTGGTAAGTCAAGCATGATTCTAATCAATATTCACTTTTATTTAATATTAATATGATTTTGTAGTTAGACCATTGACTTCTAGATTTTATAATCGATGTGTGAATGACATGTTCGAAACAATATATCTTTCCATTCGTTCGTTATTTGTTTTTTTGGGAACGTAAATGTCGAATCCCATGCAGATCCGTATTATATTATATAGTGTGGGCAGTACTGACAAAATGTCATTATCTACTGAAAGGATGTGTTTTCATCATAAAACCAATACGAATTTACGCTTACGAAAATCACAACGCAGTCAAGTAAACGGACCAAATGTTAGGTTTAATAAACACGTACATAAATACACACCTGATTTTTTTTTTTGAAATTTAGTTTAATAAATATATAAAACTGTGATCGAGTTTCAAGCAATATGAGGCTTGTGACCGTTTGGTCAAGTGCCTGCCTCACCGCGTGATTCACTTGGAACCCAGACCAGTTCCATTGTTTTACATTGTCAAATAACTTTAGCTGAGACAACACATTAAATCGAAATTTCTATAACAAGCGGACGAAAATATTTCACTCACCGGACCTAATCAGACAGATTTATGTTTCTTGAGGTTGCTGCTTTCCCTGGTTCGGCTTTTAGGTCCCTGTTCCATGACACAACCCACATAAATACGATCAGGAAATGGAAATTTCAACAAATAAATAAGAAAATGGTGGAGGGGAGTACGTTGGGGTTGAACGATTTAAGGGGGTCGCTGCCTTTTCTGGGTCTTTTCCTGTTTGCGCGTCTGCTGCCGCTGTTTCCCATGGCAGCCCTCGCCATCTTCACCATCTTGCTCGCCTCTTTCGTTTTATGATCCACTAGATACTCTGGTATCTCTCTTAGATGCGGTGCTGCCGGTTCTTTGCTCAGCACCTTGTCGTGTTTCAGCAGATCTAGTCGGGAACTTTCACTTTTCAGTTGATATTATGATGCAGAGTCCAACATAAACCATTTTCATGCATAATTTGATAAAGGTTTTATTCAACTGAGATGATGTATCATTTACCTAAGTCCCTTGGGTTCGCCTCAAAATGAGACTTCAACCTGGTGAATCAGAGGCCAAGATCGCACTTGTCAAAAATCACGTTCCATATGGCCTCGGTCCGACCGTTTCATAACCATATGTCAAGCTTAAACCCATATCATACTACTTACTTGTCAGAGTTGATAATCTCATTCCTCAAATCCTGAGCTCGGGACTCCCTTACTGCAATTTTCGTAACACTCTTTGCAACATCCTGGAAGAAGCAACTCTCTTACCTCATCAGATACTTCACCTGATTCAGCAGCCATTGCAGATTTGAAGAGAAAAAAAAGCTCCTGAATTACTCACCTCGGCTCTATATCGTAACGACTCTATTGCAGTCTCTGTCAATAAAGGGAAGGGCGTGATTGTTTCAGCTTCCTTGTTATCGTCACCTGCTAAGAAGTCTTTTATTTCTTCAAATCCTTCCATCTCATCTGGAGAAACCTGTTGCCAGTGAAAAAAGCATTATTAGACAGCCAACTATTTAGTTCATGGACTGAGTGACTATAGAGAAGAACAGGAACCAGTACCTAAGCCTCTATACAAATACTGCAAAACAAAAGAAAGCCCGAAATATTTCCAGGAACTCACAAGACAGATGGAGGAACCGCTACTGTATGCTCTCCCTGTACGCCCAATTCGGTGAATATATCCTGTAACACTTCGAGGCATGTCAAAGTTTATTACCTGCATGAACATGCCAGAGGAGAGTAAGGGCGAAAACCACTAGAGACAGGTATTGTCTGTCGAAATTCAGACCAGACAAAAGAATACGGCTGTCACTTTGAGGAACGCTGACCGTGTGAACTCTTTTGAAGTCGATTCCCCTAACTACACCAAACTCAGAGTCCAACTTTGGCTTGGCTCGCTTTCTGGATTTGTTATTGTCCTTGTTACTCTCACCACTAGCTTGCTCCCTTTCTTTTGTCTGGCTACCATCCGTTGCTATCAAATAATCAAAGAGACCAGCATTGAATTCCTGGAGAAAAGGAAAAAGAATTCAGTATGAAAAATTAACGAAATCGGTAAAATCGACAAAAGCTAACTCCATCTGTGTCAATTCATAATGGAATTGTTTATGTACCTCAAGGATATGAAGCCGAGAATTCTGTGGCAACTCCGCATTTAGGATGGCAGACTTGATTCCAAACTGAAAAACAGAGCATATGTGTCAGAAACGGAAGATAGAAAGTAATAAAATTCACAAGGATAATGGAGGAAGATGGCAGGCTTATTCCCCTCTCCCTTTCCCCATCCTCACAAATGACCACACAACAAAGCGAGATAATGAAGACGGCACAGTCCAAGAATCCATGCATTTACAAGCGTCACACTTACCTTTTCTAAGAACAATTTCAACCTGAAACCCATGTCAATAGTATTGGTGAAGACCAGAACCTTTTTCTGAACCAACTCTAGCTTCAAGAGAGCTAACATATAAAGCAACTTATCCTGAGCACTGCATGAAACCTACAATAACAAAGGAGACCAACCATCACATATCACAAGCCACAAACTATGAATCTAAAAAACAAACATAAACATGAACTTGGATAGGGACGATAAAATTTGAAGAAAAGAAAAGACTTAATTCTTACCCAGAACTGCTGAACATTTTTCGGGACAGGTTCCTCCTTTCTGCCCCCGCTCTCTTGCAAGGTCAATGTGACAGGGTTGTGCAGAATCAATTTCTTCAATTTTTCAACATCAGAACTGAAAGTTTGCATGCAGATATCACAAATCAACCACAGGAGATTATCCCAGCCAAACAAGTTCAATTTAACAGCACACATATCTGCAAATATTATACCTTGTGGTAGCAGACATTAGAAGACATTGGCAACGCTTTGGGATAATCGATGTTAATGCCCTCAGATCATCTTCATAGCCATATGACAACAGAAGATCTGCCTGATAACAGAAATGCATCAACATCATTTCCTTGTACAGAAAAGCAAATGAAACAATTGGAGGAAATTCTTTCTAACTTATACAGTGTGCACCTATTTTATGAATATCCAAGAACTCAGTGCCAAACCTTATTTCTAAAGCACTAGATTCTCTGCAGATTTGTCAAATATCAAACTATTCTAGCTAAGCTGATAAATCTCCTAATCGAGCCTCATGTCATTTCAAATATTTGAATCAGATAACCCCAACAATAAGGGAAAATGAATTCCACCTCGTCAAGAACAAGAATTTCAAGCGAGTCACTGATAGCTGCGGGCTGCAATGCTCCGGCAGAAAAACATTTAGGTATACAAGCAGGCGTAGAGACGACAATGTCGGGTAGTCCAGCCAATGCAGTACGCTGAAAGGAAAAAGATATTGCACTGATCACATAAGCAAGTTAACAAACAGATCAATGCCATATTTGGATTCACAGATTTATTATAACCAGTGAACCAACCATATCAGATGCAGGCATGCTACTAGTCAGTTGCACTGCTTTCAGTTGAACCCTACACCAGTCGAGAAGTGATGAAACCTCGGAGTAAACCTGCATTGCAAAAGAACACAAGCTCGCAATGAGCGAGCAGCAGAAACAACGAAAGATCATTAATTTAAACAACCACACCATAAAACCTGCCTGGTGACACAATTCCCGCGACGGAACAAGAACAAACGCCGCTGGAGCAAGCCTCTTCTTGCTCCCGGAATCAGAGAAAAGCTTCTGAAGCAGTGGCAAAAGATACGCCAATGTCTTACCGGAACCCGTCTTAGCCCGAGCAACCACATCTTTTCCTTCCTAACATAGTAGCCAGAAAAGAGAGAGAGAGAGAGAGAGAGAAACCCACATAAATTACTAAGGCACGATTGCAAATTCAATAATCGACACGATTGAAGAATAACAGAATCCAAAAAGTTTGTGAAAATTTTACCAGAATGTAAGGAATTGCTGTTTGTTGGATAGGCGTGGGCTTATGAATACCCTTTTTATTCAGCGCACGGATTAGCCGAGAATCAAGGCCTGATTCCTCGAAACTCTTCTCCACCTCCTCTTCTCCTCCATCTTCGGATTCGTCTCCCTCCTTATTGTCTCTCCGTTCCACTACTTTCTCTACTTGTTCTCTCGTCTCTTCTTCGTTGGGCTTCTCCTCCTTCATGGGTTTCTTCTTCGTCTTAGCCATGGAATCAGAGCTTCCACACCAAGGAGAAAGGAAGGCGCGAAACAGGTCACCGATTAGGGTTTATCAGGGGTGTAAGCTCGATTCGATAGCGAAACTCCTGGAGAAGGCTGTTGATGATATGGGTCGGTTATGACCTATTAATGGGCCCACAATTGGCCCAATAGGCCATTTCGAATTTTGGGCTCTCACCGACATGTGAGACACGTGAGGTCACGTGTGTTTGACTGGTCTTCTCTAGACCACGTATGGCGGATTTCCTTTTGCCCCCGAAATAATTGTTTCCTAGTAAGTGGTCCGGAAAGATCACACGAGTAAAAAAATTTATTATTAATATATATAGATTTATTCTGAATTTTAACATGATTCCCCAAAAAAATTTGACTGCTTGAGAAAGGCGGACCGTTTAACATCTCATAAAAAGAACGATAATTTTAGATAAGATATAGAACAGCAAAATTATTGAAATGACACGGTGAAAGGGGGGACATTGTGGGGATGGGGATTCAGCAATGATGGTATTATGGTATAAAAAACATTGGAATTATGGGACTCAAAAAGGAGAAAATATCTCGCCGGAAACGGCAGAAGAAGAGTAATATTAGGATTAGTAACTACAAAAAAATTTACTATTCAACGTTTGGTGACCCAATGGGCGAGAGATCATAAAATCATCTTTCAAGTCATGGGTTCGATTCCACTGGTGGGAAGTGATGTAATTTCTGGACTAAAATGGTCCATATATAAAGATTGATCCCGAGCCTATAGTGGATGTAACCGGGTCAAAGATGCAGAAACCATCCTGGTTATAAAAATAAAATAAAATTTACTGTAATAGACGCAAGGTGTTCTTGTAATTAGAGGGGTATAATCGTCTTTTGACATCCGAATTTTCGAGGATCTGCTGAGTAAAATGCCGACCTAGGTAATTTACAACATATTTGCATATCTCATCTCAAGAATTTTTCTTATGTATTTCCAATCATTTGGCCATCTATATATACATAAAAGCAAATATATAAACACACACGGTGTAAGGGAACGGACGGATGTCGATATGATTCATTTGTTAAAGAGATCCAATATTACAAAATCCCGATGTACCGTTCCTAAGGAAAACTAAACCGAATAATCCCAATTCCCCATATCACCATTCTTTTCGTGCATGGACCCTTTGGTATACTAAAAACCAGATAACCAAGTTACAAGTCTGCCCAGGCGGCGAAAACCGGCATCTGAGGCAAGGCAAGAGCACCAGTCTTGAGCTCGTCATTAGGGTTCGTCCAAGTGCTCATATTTCCGGAGGCATTTGCACCCATCATCTTCGGTCTGACCTGAGGGATGGCGAAAATCGTAGGAAAACTCACGACCCGATCCGAGTTTCCTTCCCTCGAGCAGTCGAGAACGACGTTATGACCCACGTCGCTTTCTAACGACGATTCTTTGCTAACGATGTTCTTTCTTGCAAGCTCTCCAGACAAAAGAGTGTTGCTTGACATGATCCTTTCGACATCGTACCTCGTTATGTCGAAGTTTGTGACAGCGTTTGTCCCTCTGAACTTGATGGCGGCCACGTCGTAGGCTTCTGCGGCTTCCTCTTGAGTCCCTAACCATTCACAAAGGGTAACGGTTAATGTTGAAAAATATCGATTATTTCAATCTTAAATATGAAAAAAAAATTGTTACAAGAAACGAACCGAACGTTCCAAGGTAGAGGTCTTTGTTGCCGGCGACTCTGCCGATCCGAGCTTGCCACCTTCCATGTTGGTGATGCCTTAACACAATATGATTAGACATGTCAGCCTATATAATATGAATATATAGTCCTAAACATTATAATATGCGTGACTATATATATATATATATATATGATCCACAAACCTTGTGACTCCCCTATAGATCGAAGCACCTCTCGAGAATCCGCTACTCTTCCTGCACCAAAATGCATTTCGTGTTAATTTTCCACCCGCAAAATAGTAGTCCAAGGATATTTTGGTCATACATAATGGAAAGATATACTATTGTAAATATTCTATCGTATCACTTCCAGATTTTATGTTCATTAGTTACCTTGATTGTAGCTAAATCATAGCAACCCTACGTCTATATATTTTGTAATCTCTACACTTGGAATAATAAGAAATATTATTCCCCACTATCGTTTATGGTATCAGAAGCCATTGTCTAGCGACTTTTTTTTCCAAACCTAATCTCTCTTCTCCTCGCCGCCGACCATGTCTGATGGTAGCACTCCCACCGATGGCTCCACACCGACAACAAACCCCATCGCGGATACCGTCAATCCGTACAACCCCGAAAACCTCACCTCTCCGTTGATTAATATCAACGTCACAAATGTGACCAAGCTTTGCTCCTCTAACTATCTCACGTGGAGTCTTCAACTTCGGTCTCTCTTCCAAGGATACAACTTGGAGGACTTTCTCAGCCCCGAGCACTGTGTCTCATCCACCATCATCGAGGACAACGTCGTGAAGGCCAACCCGGCCTATCCGACATGGTATCGCCAAGACAGACTCACCTTCAGCGCACTCCTCGGTTCTATCTCCACCTCGTGTCAAGCCCTAATTGCTCGTGCCACCACCACCAGCGAAGCATGGACGACCCTTGCCTCCACTTATGGCCGATCGAGTAGGGGACACATCAAGCAAATCAAAGACAATATGCGCCGTTACTCCAAAGGCGGCCACTCTATTGATGACTATATGCATTTCTTCAAGACTAAGGCTGATGAATTAGCACTTCTTGGCAAGCCTCTCGACCACGAAGATCTCGTGGATCTTGTTCTCGCTGGACTTGGAGACGATTACAAATCTGTAAAAGACGCTATCAATGCAAGGGATCTTCCGATCTCCTTCGTGGAACTTCATGAGAAGCTCCTCAATCACGAATCTGTGATCCAAGCGTCGGAGCCCCTTCCCTCGATCATGCCGATCTCTGCTCATAACGCTCAAGCCCAACAACCGAGCCAATCACCTCGTCCTCAATGGAATCAGAATCCACGACATTCCACCGGCAATGCTCTTGGGCGTCCTCGCAAACCATCTTCCGGCTACCAAGGGAAATGTCAACTTTGTGGCACCCAAGGACATAGCGCCAAGCGATGTCATCTTCTCCGTGGTTCCTTTGCTGGTGTCTTAGGCTCCTCTCCTACGTCCCAACCATGGCAAGCTCGGGCTAATCATACCACCATCTCGGCTGTACCTCCATCACCGACTTGGCTACTCGATTCGGGAGCATCGCATCATATTACTTCCGACCTAAGCAATCTCTCCTTCCATGCTCCTTACTCCGGTGGTGACAACGTTGAGCTTGGAGATGGCTCCAACCATCCCATATCACATACGGGTTCTATGTCCCTACCCTCTCAATCTCGTTCTTTATCTCTTACGAATGTTCTTTGCGTCCCGACCTTACGTAAAAACCTTGTGTCCACCCATCAACTTTGCAAAACTAATAATGTTTCGGTTGAATTTTTCCCTTTCCATTTTCAGGTGAAGGATCTCGTCACGGGGGCGTCACTAGCAACAGGAATACTTAGAGATGGTGTGTATGAGTGGCCGAACGTCTCACAAACCCATTCCTCTCGTGTTACTCTAGTCTTTTCGTCTATCAAGTCTTCCATTCACGACTGGCACTCTCGGCTCGGACATCCTTCGACCGAGGTCTTGCATAAAGTCATTCAACAATTTTCCATTCCTTTGTCTTCTTCTTCTCCAAAAGACTTGTCTTGCGAGTCATGTCCGATTAATAAAACTCATAAACTTCCATTTCGGAGCCCCTTCCCTCGATCATGCCGATCTCTGCTCATAACGCTCAAGCCCAACAACCGAGCCAATCACCTCGTCCTCAATGGAATCAGAATCCACGACATTCCACCGACAATGCTCTTGGGCGTCCTCGCAAACCATCTTCCGGCTACCAAGGGAAATGTCAACTTTGTGGCACCCAAGGACATAGCGCCAAGCGATGTCATCTTCTCCGTGGTTCCTTTGCTGGTGTCTTAGGCTCCTCTCCTACGTCCCAACCATGGCAAGCTCGGGCTAATCATACCACCATCTCGGCTGTACCTCCATCACCGACTTGGCTACTCGATTCGGGAGCATCGCATCATATTACTTCCGACCTAAGCAATCTCTCCTTCCATGCTCCTTACTCCGGTGGTGACAACGTTGAGCTTGGAGATGGCTCCAACCATCCCATATCACATACGGGTTCTATGTCCCTACCCTCTCAATCTCGTTCTTTATCTCTTACGAATGTTCTTTGCGTCCCGACCTTACGTAAAAACCTTGTGTCCACCCATCAACTTTGCAAAACTAATAATGTTTCGGTTGAATTTTTCCCTTTCCATTTTCAGGTGAAGGATCTCGTCACGGGGGCGTCACTAGCAACAGGAATACTTAGAGATGGTGTGTATGAGTGGCCGAACGTCTCACAAACCCATTCCTCTCGGTTCACTCGAGTCTTTTCGTCTATCAAGTCTTCCATTCACGACTGGCACTCTCGGCTCGGACATCCTTCGACCGAGGTCTTGCATAAAGTCATTCAACAATTTTCCATTCCTTTGTCTTCTTCTTCTCCAAAAGACTTGTCTTGCGAGTCATGTCCGATTAATAAAACTCATAAACTTCCATTTCATGTCTCATCTATATCATCGTCTCGACCCCTTGAAATAATATTTTCGGATGTTTGGTCTTCGCCCATTGCTTCCTTTGACGGTTTTAAGTACTATGTCATTTTTGTTGATCATTATACTCGGTATACGTGGTTTTATCCTCTTCAGCGAAAATCTCAAGTACTTGAAATTTTTCCTCGATTCAAAGCTCTTGTTGAAAACCGATTCCAAAATCGCATTCAAACACTTTATTCGGACAATGGAGGGGAATATATTGGTCTTCGCTCTTTTCTTTCTACTCACGGAATCACTCACCTAACCACCCCTCCACACACACCCGAACACAATGGTTTGTCGGAAAGAAAGCATCGACATATCATGGAGATGGGAATGACTCTTCTTTCTCACGCCTCCATGCCCGTGTCCTATTGGACTTTTGCCTTTCCAACAGCCGTGTTCCTAATCAACCGTCTACCGACCAAAGTCCTTGATTATAAATCACCATTTCTCGCTCTCTTCGACACCAAACCCAACTACACTAAGCTACGCACCTTCGGTTGCCTATGCTTTCCTTGGTTGCGCCCATACTCTCATCATAAACTCGACCCACGTTCTTCACCTTGTGTTTTTGTCGGTTATTCGCTTACACAAAACTCATTCCTTTGTCTACAACCTTCAACATCCCGAGTTTTCTCGTCTCGTCATGTAACATTTTTTGAATCTTCCTTTCCTTTCTCAAAACAATTGTCATCGTCTCTCACCCGCGACACAAACCCTAATGTGTCTCATTCTCCTTCTCACACCCTGGTTCCGCGCCACTCATACACATCACCATCGGAGTCTGCCTCGCTAGTACCCCTTCAACGGGATTCCTCGCCTCTGCCAGCACTACCATCACCGAGTCTACCATCACCCACCACTCTCTCATCACCGTCTCCCATATCACCCGAACCTGATCATCCATTGCAGCCTACACTCACCACCGCTCAACCTACCATTACCGACAATCCACTCATCGAACCACCCCCAGTATCCGAACCTATTCACCAACCTTGCCAAACACGAAACAGTCACCCCATGGTAACCCGTTCCAAAAACAACGTCTCCCGCCCCAATACCAAATTCTCCAATCATTCCACCACCACACAGCCCTTGGACATAGAACCTAGTACCGTGTCCCAAGCTCTCAAATCACCACAATGGAGGCAGGCCATGACGGAAGAGTTTGACGCGTTGGTGAAGAATGGAACATGGGATTTAGTTCCTCCGGATTCATCCTATAATATTGTCGGGTGCAAATGGGTATTCCGTACTAAGCGACGTGTTGATGGTTCCTTTGACAGGTGCAAGGCAAGACTCGTAGCTAAGGGATTTCATCAACGTCCCGGAATCGACTATCACGACACATTCAGCCCCGTCATCAAACCGGCGACTATCCGGCTTGTCCTAAGCATCGCTATCACTCGTGGATGGCCGCTACGGCAACTAGACGTCAATAATGCGTTTCTTCAAGGCCATCTCACCGAGGATGTCTATATGATGCAACCACCGGGCTTCGTAGATCAAGACCGTCCCACTCACGTGTGCAAACTGCATAAGGCTCTATACGGGCTCAAGCAAGCGCCACGTGCTTGGTACCATGAGCTCCGTAGCTACCTCTTATCCTCGGGCTTCAAGAACTCCATGGCTGACACTTCGTTGTTTGTCTTTCGTGATGCCGACGTCGTCATCTTCCTTCTCGTCTATGTTGATGACATTGTCATCACCGGCAGCGACCCCATCAAATGCCAAGAATTCATCCGTCATCTCTCGGCTCACTTCTCCCTCAAAGATCTTGGGGAACTATCCTTCTTCCTCGGCGTGGAGGTTACTCGGACAACCACTGGCCTTTACCTCACGCAGAACCGGTACATCCAAGATCTTCTCCGACGGACAAACATGATCAATGCCAAGCCCGTCACAACTCCGATGTCTTCCACAACCTCGCTCACCCTGTCGGCCGGCTCCCCTTTAGATGATCCAGCAGAATACCGGAATGTGGTTGGAAGCTTGCAATATCTACACTTCACACGTCCCGATATTGCTTTTGCGGTGAATAAACTCTCTCAATACATGCATCGCCCTACCACCGAGCATTGGCAGGCCGTGAAACGCGTCCTGCGTTATCTCGCCGGTTCTTCGTCCCTTGGCGTCTTCATGCCCGCGAAGAACACTCTCAGTCTTCATGCCTACTCGGACGCGGATTGGGGAGGCAATCGCGACGACTTCACTTCCACCGGAGCACACATTGTCTACCTCGGCTCCCATCCCATCTCTTGGTCGTCAAAGAAGCAACGAAGTGCTGCTCGATCCTCGACGGAATCCGAATACAAGTCCGTAGCTTCCACGGCGTCCGAAGTTCGTTGGTTATCCTCTCTCCTCTCAGAACTTGGGGTTGACGTTCCAAAACCCCCGGTTATATACTGTGATAATGTCGGTGCCACGTACTTATGTGCTAATCCGATCTTTCACTCACGCATGAAGCACGTGGCGATTGACTACCATTTCATTCGGGGACTTGTCCAAGATGGACATCTTCGGGTCACTCATGTCTCCTCACATGATCAACTTGCTGATGCCCTCACCAAAGCACTTCCTCGGGCCCGGTTCGATCTTCTTCGTGTCAAGATTGGTCTCGCACACGAGCCACATCTTGCGGGGGCGTAATGGAAAGATATACTATTGTAAATATTCTATCGTATCACTTCCAGATTTTATGTTCATTAGTTACCTTGATTGTAGCTAAATCATAGCAACCCTACGTCTATATATTTTGTAATCTCTACACTTGGAATAATAAGAAATATTATTCCCCACTATCGTTTAATACATACATATATATATATATACACACACATGTAATATGTACCTCCTCAAATGGGCAACATACTCTTGCCTGGTCATGTTCCCCATTTCTTCAATCTCCTTCCGATAATTCTCCGCCTGAAAAACAAAAACGAATCTATAATTATCGAGTGAAATATTATCTATATAATTATACGTAAAATGGAAACCGGATCTAACAGATACATACATATATATATATATACACACACATGTAATATGTACCTCCTCAAATGGGCAACATACTCTTGCCTGGTCATGTTCCCCATTTCTTCAATCTCCTTCCGATAATTCTCCGCCTGAAAAACAAAAACGAATCTATAATTATCGAGTGAAATATTATCTATATAATTATACGTAAAATGGAAACCGGATCTAACAGATAAAATGGAAATGAAAGGGATCAAAATGATTTACGGGGAAATTGGTGTGAGTAGAGGGACCCCAATACTTGAGTGCAGCAAGGTCGTATGCTCGTGCAGCTTTCTCCTCCATATCATAACCCCCTAAAAAAGAATTTGGACTTATTCGGGTTAATATTAATATATATATATATATAAGGCATTCAGCAATCCATCATTATAATTCTCCGAGAAAATTGGGAGATAATGAAATCAAGAATATATATATACTCACCCAGATAAACTGAGAAGATCAAATCATTCGAGATTTTTGGCATTGATCGTAACAAAAACACCCCACCAAGGAAAAAGAAAAACAATAACCACAGTCAATCATAAATGGATCGATCGAAATTATTGATGAGTTCATACAACAAATATTATGTGAACACAAACCTTGTCTTCCCTTCCTGCTCTGACCTTCTTTCTTGTAACTGTTGTCCCAGAGATGAGCTTCGTATCTACCGGTCCATCTATGTCTATTTCAGACAAAGAATACAGTGAACCATGACAGATTAAAATCACACAACGAGAACAAAGGTGGTCTCGGGTATTCAATAATTAAATAAACTAAAGGAAAGAGACGAAGATACGGACCGTGTGACGCCCCTGTACTGAGAAGTTCTCTGTCCGAACGTGTCAATGGATTTTCTATGGACAATGTGTCTTTGTTCTACGACGACTTCTTGTCCTCTCTTCTTTGGCTCGAACCCAACGCCCTCCAAAACAGCGGATGAGAATTGCTGGTGCGAGCCAGTGACGCAGCTCGACTGGGAACCAGGGCTCATGGACAAGCTCAACGACTGTTGCAATTCCCCATATGCCTCCATCCCGACGGACCCTGCCTGTGTCATCCCAGGGTCGTTCTCGTAATTTCTTGAGACCAGGGTCTTCATCTCAGCTTGGAGTTGCAGGGCAGTGGACTGCGAAGAAGAATCGTGGGTCTCTTCATGGTTTCTTATTTCGTGGAAGTTGCCGTTGAAGGGATAGTGTTGACCATCTTGAGAGGATGGATTTTCCTGGAAAATCTTTAGAGAATCTTGAGCGTTGGACTCATGGGCGTTGTAGAATATACTGTCTAAGCTAAGAGCCATGGCTTCTTTGTGGGAGTTATGGTGATGGGTCCCCATTGTCAGTGCTCCCCCGAAGAAATCCTCCATTTTTGGCGTTGAATCTGTTCCACGACAACAAGAAACCAAAACCCAAAACAGGAATGAACTTTCTTGGACGAAAAAAAAACCCCCACGAAACAACAAGAAAAAGATTGAAACTTCTCGTCACCTTGATTGGGTTGATGAGACGACCTGTTGAGAGCTTCCATCAAACAAAGAGAGCCATCAGACCTGAGTGGCATCACGGGCAAATGAGAATAGATTTCCCCGGTTCCATAGCAGACGCCATAACTTCCATTGTTACCACAATCACCGAGCTGAGGAACAACAGAACCAGACGACAAATGAGAAGCAGAAGCAGGAGCAGAGACAAAGGGGTTAGAAGACAGTGTCTGGTTGTGGTGGTGATGGACGACTCCACCGCCATTTTCTCCCATCTCCGAGACGTTGGAAGAGAGAGAGAAAGCCAACAAGCTGGACACAGTGTTGTTATTGCGATCATCTCTGCAAAAAGACTTCATTTTTTTTCGTTACAACTCTCTTCAATCTCTAAGAGATGGGTCTTCTTCTTTCTTCTTTTATATATATCTTTCCCGCTTAAGTGCAGGGAGATACCCAATCATTGGGAAACCAGTCTTCGAGCTATGTAAAAAAATATTATTAGCACGTCATTACTTCTTTGATTAAACAAAATCCATCTTAATACAAAACTCAAGCTCCTTATAAATCTCTCTCTCTCTCTCTCTCTCTCTCTCTAAATGCAAGAGAAAAGAAAGGAAGCAACTTTAGGATACAGCGAGTGATCTGAGATTATACAACAAACACAAATTGCAGTTGAATCCATTGGGATCTGTGTTCATGAGAAAGACATCTCTTATGTTTCATTTTTTTTTTTCGCTTTTAGCCCTACAATTCCCCAACTCCCACCTTATTGTCTTTCGCTTTTCTTTTTTTTTTCTTTCGTTAATCTTTTTTTGAATTTCATGAAACCCATAAACATACTACAACCACGACCAAGAAAGAAAATCTTTCCGAGCTCTTTATTCTAATTCCAGGTTCTCGCTTATGCGAAGAAGAAACACAACATAGTGTCGGTCCATATTTAAAAATAAAAACAAGATAATATGAGACAGGAATACGATATAAAATTGCATAGATTTGTGCAAGGACTAGGAAAAGTCCAAGATTTCGTGCCGACCGTAAAATCATAAGAGCAAACTTTGTTCAGTGTGCTAAAACGACCCATCGGATACAACGCAGTACCCTTTATGACGTTATCATCCAAAAAATCTGAGCCTAGGGTTCACCTTATTAAATTGGTTCCAACCATGCACGAACCATATAATGGCTTGTGTATAATAATTACATATACATCCATGATCCACATGTAATCGTAGCAATACAGGTCCTAGATTTCTAAAACCCAAAAGCAATATCTCTTTTTATATAATTTTATATTTAAGAACCAAACAAATCGAACGAAATACCTGTAATATATATATATATATATATGAAATGTAGACAAAAAAATCTTCATGTTCATGGGGTAACTATGTATATGATCGATGTATACCATAAGGCATGCCTACGCTACATAAATGTTATATGCATTATGCACACATACAATATCAAATATATTTATTCATACACACACACACACATATATATATATATATATATATATATATATATATATAATGCGTCGCAGGCAATTTATGATGCAATGGGTCTTAAATATAGATTGAAAATTTTGTGCACAGACAAAACTGTACATTTAAACGCTTTTACAATTACGTAACAGTGTCACACAGCTCACGCACAGGCCCTACTGATGTCCGCCACCTTCTCTCTAATGCAAGGAAAAGACGTTTATACGGCGCCGTTTTGGTTAGAAATCAAAACCCTCCATCCATCTTAATTACTTTGACTTATCATCACCACTTCTTTGTCCTTTCTTCGTTTGAAAAAAAAGGGGGTTGCACCAAAAAAATTAGTGAAAATCAATAATGGTTGCGTCGGATTCTCATATCCATTTTTTTCAATTTTGAATAGATTTTCAGAAAACTAGTACGTGCACATATATAAATAAACAGAGTTGAAGTTGATTAGGCAACTTATAACATGTAATTAACTTGCCATGGGAACCAAATGCCCTTTTAGGTTACAAAGCAACAAAAACTTAAGTCAATCATCCATCCGACAATATATCTTGGACTGATGTCGTTTGGCATAAGCATCATATCCCGAAGTTTGCTTTCACCACTTGGCTAGTCAACTTGGACAGATGCCCGACAAGAGATAGAATGAATTCATGGGGATTGAATACAGATCCGAGATGTCTTCTCTGTCAGGATAGTGTAGAAACTAGAGATCATTTATTTTTTGAATGCCCATATTCTTCAAGGATTGTTGCAGCCTCGTTGGGTACTATGATCCAGATCCCTCCTAACTGCTCTTGGAATGAGATTCTCCACTTGTTAGATCGTAGCCTTGGTTGCAGGGTTAGAAGATTCACAGTCCTATCATTATGGCAGATAATAATCTACATGATTTGGAAAGAGAGGAACAACAGGCTGCATCGAAGTCACTTCTCAGATATCTCCTTACTGATCAGGGATATTGACAGGGTTTTTCGGACACGTATTGTTGCCCTGCGCTCTTCCTCACCTGAACTGGCAAGCTTAAGTCTGTAGCTTTGGTTCAACAGTAACCCGCTACCTACTCCACTGATACAGACCAACTAATAGAGCCAATCTCTGTTAATTTTTTGTAATGGAGTTCACCCACTATGTATCGACAACTATGTATCTTTTTCGTTAATACAAATCTTTATAAAAAAAAAAACTTAAGTCAATCATGGGAAAATCTCTGCATGAATTGGTAAGGTAGTTTGACTCGTATCGTAAGGTTTGTGGGTTCGACTCTTTGCTAACGTATCTACACTACAAAAAAATCTTCGAATTCCAACGGATTTTCCAACGGATTATCAACGGTTTTCAACGGCGTTTCAACGACGATTTCCGTTAAAATTCCGTTGAAAATTTCCAACAGGTATCCGTTGGAAAAACCCGTTGGAAATTTTTAACGGAATTTTCAACGTATTCAATTGAAAAATTGGGTTGGAAATTTCCAATGGTATTTCCAACGGATATCCGTTGGAAATTTTCAACGGATTAACGTTGGAAATTTTCAACGGATTAACGTTGGAAATTTTCAACGGATTAACGTTGGAAAAATCGGTTGCAAATTTTTAACGGAGTTCCAACGGATGTTTGTTAGAAAACAATTCCAACGGATGCCGGTTGGAAATTTTTTTGGAATTTTTTTTTAAAAAATTCCAACGGAATTCCAACGGATGCCGGTTGGAATTTTTTTTGGAAATTTTTTTTAAAAAAATTCCAACCGAATTCCAACGGATGCCGGTT